CAACTTGCTTTCTTCTGCTGGTATCTTGTCCAGAATATATTTTCGTAAACCATGTGTACCTTTGATAGAGCACAGTTTGAATAGTTTTATTATACCATATTCATGTGATTTCGTTGGTATGTATTGCCTGAGTATTAGTCGTCTCCTTCAAGGAACCATTGTCTCGTCGACTACAATATCTTGGCCTGGTGAAAAGACTTTTTGATAATTGTCTGTCAACATGTTTATGAGTGGTAAAACTTTTCCAAGTCTGCTACTCTGTTCTATCGTTTCGTTATTTGCAAAATGCAAGTTTGCTAATAGTAATTCAAAACGATTACGGCACATCCTGCTGCGCGGGAATGGAAAATTGTAAAGAGGGTTCGTTGACCCTAACGAGCGGTGTCTGTGCTAAACACCCATCCAAATCATCAGTTCGATAAATTTTGCAGTTTCTTCGGAAGTGGTGGATTTCCATCTGTTCTGTCGAGCATGATTGGTCATGTCACGTTGATGCAATTTTTGCTCTGCATATCTATTAGTCTCTGTGACTAAAAGGCTTATCACTTTTTCATCTAAGAATAGCTAAAGCACTTCACTTGTGCTAATGCCAGACGATAAATCTATCAGAAGCCCACTTTTTCCGGTGAACGGAAATGACTGTTGCCTGTTAGCGAATTTGTTTCAATGGATATTGTCCATCTCTTCTTCGTCTATAGCAAATTCTTCCAACATGTCGTCAAGGTCTTCACTTGCATATGGTTCCTCAATATCCGTCTGAACTCGATGAAATTCTATTTATAACTTTTCTTCTAAAACTTACTACTTGGTCATTACTATTCTCCTCACTTTCAATTATACTTTTACGCCGTCCAATGAACATTTTGAGGATAAAAAAAATCATTGATATGCTTCTCGACTAAATGAAGGATCTGGGATAACTGCAGTGAGATCCCTCGCAGTCCTCTAGTCGAAAAGCTTATCGCTTTCCTCATTTCGGAAATAAACTTTATTCTTTAATGGATCGAAGGCTCTGTAACATTAGATTACCGATAACGCACGGGCCTACTCGAGTTGCATCGTTGCTATTCCCACTTATCACTCTTTTTGGCGCTCCGACAGTCGGATTTGGTCCCCGCGAGAAACTCAACCGAATCGCGCTGGACGACGAACATGTTAAACGAAAAGCAAACAATCAATACCTGACACTGGCGTATCAAAAACAAAGACTATATATTCTATCTGTATATTGTTGACTCTCTTATAAAACGTTGTGAGGATAAAAAAAGTGTGAAGCAAGACAAATGAAAAAGATCATTTAATTCAAACGGTGAGCGAATGAGTCAGTAGAGTGAACCACTATAGTGGCGCGTCGTAATATAAAATGACATCCGTGAAAGCCACTATAGTGGTGCATCGTACCTTAGAGGTTAACGTCGCAACCTCAGCCGAAGTGACAGAGTCATCCAATCCACTAATTCGGATGTCTGTCATTTTCACTGGTCGGGCTACTCTAATTTTACTGTTATTGGCGAACAGCTCGCGCAGGCGACCCGCGAGAATATCAGCTTTGTCTGAGCTGTTCTGCCCTGCAATTTCTAAAATCATGCCACCCGTGATCGCTTTCCGGACGCGGACCCCGGATAACCCAGCGTCGGTCAGTTTTACACAGTTTTAAGCTGTGCCCATGACTTCTGCTTCTTCCTCTTTGCAGTGATATAAAATGTGTTCAGGTGTATCTATTTGCGGGATTTGCGACATTTCTAATTTCGCGAACCTACACCAGTTACTGATCTGGTCTACTATTCCTTGGCCTTCAATTCTATTTCGCGCCGGATATCCTCCTCAATGAGGACGAGGAGATTGTCCGCATACGCGACGAAGTTGTTTCCTACGAAGATGTCTCTAGAGACTTGAGTAGGTCGTCAAACATAAGATTCCAGCGGGACCGAGGGACCCTTGCGGGCAGCCTTTCGTAATCAGCTTGGAAACAATGGAAGAACCTATTTCGAAGATCACGCGACGGTCGTTAAAATAGCTAATCATTACCTCGAAGGCATGACCTATCTGTTCAGACGCGAATTCGCGATTACGAAGGTTGTCTCCGGTCGGTCCGCTTTCTTTACGAACAGTTATGTTGAAGACCTCGCGAAGGTGACCAGCCAAGTGGTCCGCCTTCTCCGCACTCTTGTCGCCGGGGATCTCGATCATCACACCCCCGGTGATCGCACGCCGGATGCGTACCTCCTTGATCCCGGCGCTCTCCAGATTAATATTCCGCCTCGCCGTGGCCAAGATCTCCGCGTTGGAGCGGCGGTCAACGTCACCGCCGCTCTTCTCGGGGCTCTCACAGGTCGTGGCCGGCGCTGCTGCAGTTGTTGCTGCTGCTGCTGCGATTGGCTACGCAGTTGTTGTTGTTGTTGTTGCTGCTGTTGCCATTGCAGCGAGATCTCGGCCTTCCTTTTGTCTCGCCGCGCCTTCTTTTTCTTGACCACCGT